CATGAACAAAGGAAGAGTGTGTAAACATACAACAAAAGGAGACTGATGGAAATATTAAGAAGGAAGAGAAATATTGAACATACACAAAGAGAGAGTGATCGAAAATATACAACACAAGGAGAGAGTAATGAACAATGACAGAATGAGGAGTGAGCAATAGAAGAAGAATAGAATATTTATGGTCTGTAATATGTTGTTGCCATACGCATATACTCTATTTATTTATTTATTTCACGGATAACGCACTCTATCGAATGTGTTCTAAAAATCTATTTATTATTTATGCAATACATGTTGTGTGGCTACGTGCGGGTTTGCCTAGTATCAATCATCCGTTAACCCCTCCCCCAGCTCTCTGTGTTATTTCCCAATCCTTTTAAAACGGTATATAACAGTTGGTTTTTCGAGGTATATAGATTATTGTTATTGTATTGTCAGTAGTAATATAATAAGAGTAATCCCAATGCATAATACAATCAGAGAGCGTTGGTCAGTTTTACTAGTAGTGGTAAATTTTGTTAATGATGACAAGTGTGTTTGTTGCTGTTGTTCAACACGAGTAGTGTACAAATTAGGTGAATATCTTTTATGCATGGTAAAGTCATAATTAAAAAGTTCTTCTGCTGTCTCGTCGAGTATAATATGTTTACGAATCTTTTTGTATTCATTTCTTATTAGTAAACGAACTCGGCCTGCATTTAACTTCAACATAAATGGACGAACATTTGTTTGTAACAAATATTTGATTGAAAAAACTGGATGTAACAACAACAGTGACAGACTGGATTGTTGTTCAATCAATGGAGCGTGTTTTGGTAAATCGTGTTGCCAGTTTCTACCGAGCCAACTAACCAGTCGAAATACAGAGAATTTTATCTCTATTATAAATGAAAACAATCTTTTTCCTGGCGGTAATTTTAATGCGTCTGCCCATACATCACCGGCTAGTTTTCTTACCATTTGTGAATGAAATTCAAATCTTGCCGGTATTGGCAAATAAACTGCTATGGCCTTGATAACTTGATGAGCTAACAAGCAGCTTGTTTCATCTGGACATCCAATATGATGTAGGATTGATTCAGTCAATGTTCTGGCTTTGTCGTATGTTTCACTAGAATTGAAGTGATCATCTATTCCTAGTAGCCAACCCATATACCGCCAAACGTGAAGATAACCTTGTTCTTCTTCTGCAGAAAATCGAATGTGCATACGCTCTTTAAAGCTAAACAAAACTGAAAATGAAAATCCCATTAATGTTACCAGTAAATCTTCTTGATTAATCGGTATTCCAAATTCAGCAGTGTCCCATTTTATTCCACTATGCTGCTCATTCAATAACATGTATCTAATTCGCGCATGTAATAATCTCACTCGTAAACATGATTCCCAACCAATATGATTTGGTTCAAGTATAGAAACAGTTCCAGTAAGACATGTTATAATCATAGAATTTGTTTCTAATAATCGACGATAACTGGCTGCACAGCCATTAGATAAATAACCCGTACATGCTAATACTTTAGATAGTTTTGGTGCTCCAAAGCCAGAAATAAGCGTAAAGTACAGTAAACTAATTAAAGCTGGCACAATGCATCGCGTAAAGAATTGCTGACCATCTAAAATAGAAGCCCAATTAACCCATGTTGGAATTGTTGAATATTTTTGTATAAATTCGTAACATAAGCAACATTCATCAGACGGATATAAAATTTGTGAATCTGGTCTGCTATCAGCGATGTGTTGCTTAGCCAATTTTCTGCATAGACCCAATGCATCTTGTTCCTCAATTTTTAAATATTTGTGTAATAAAGCCATTACAACATCACAATCTGGATCACCGATTTGACGTAACGGCTCCAAATCTGTACCATCTTTATGTGACTTAGTCCATATAAAAGGAAAACCCATATTTTCATATGTTTGACCCAACTTAACACCAGTAAATATATTAGAACTCATTTTATTATTTGTATACTTGAAGTTCCAACTACGTCATTGTGAAAATCAATAATGGCTTTTCTGATCTATAGCATTAGAAGATGGCAGAATTAAAATACAATATATTTACAATTTAGTCACTAGCAAGCGAACATGAAAAACTCACATATGTTTGAGCCACAACTACAAGACATATTTTCACAATTAGCAAAACTATACATATTCGTTTCTCACACCGCTTTCTTTAACTAATGAAGGAACTGGGATACCAAAGCTCTACTTGAAAAGCTTTATCATTAATGTGCATTCTTTCGTTCAAGAAAAAAAATCTTTTTTCAAAACGTTTTCACAAAAAAACAAACCTTTTAAGGGTAACGGTGTGGTAAACGATGTTTTTGATTACTAATTCATGTATGTCTAAATACAAGTTTTTCTTTTTGAATATCATTGTAGACATTTAGTCATATAGGTATAAAGCATGACCTTTAATGCCAATGGATGCATGTTCGAAGCTTGAACAGATCAATTTTTTTGATATAAGTCATTTTCTTATCAGAGGTTCACTAGTTATTTGCCTGAAGCTTATACGAGGCTGACAAGAGTCTTACGAAAACAGTGCCCGTTTCGCGTACGTTTCTAATATAAGATTTGAATCAAATAAGGGTTTTATGTCTTTTTAATTCATCTTCTCTATCCAGAAACTATCCCAAAACTAAGCGAGTCCGGTGTTTTATTCTCCGAAAAACTTTTTTCACTAGCTACAAGTTTGTGAAAATTCGCTTTGTTTACTTTGTCGTCGATATACGGATATTAAACCACAACATGCACTTTGAGCTATCGCATTGCTGGTAGTAATCGATAAAAGAAAGGCGGTACGGAACTATGAATGTGTCTAAAGGCCAAAGCTACGTCCAATCTTGTTGATGCAGATCAGTTTTAAAATTATGCTTTTGTATTTTCAATACTTTTTTCGTACTCCGTTAAAACGTTACCTTACCTTTTTATTTCGTTTCCAAGACAGTGAATAAACAAGACAATAGAACAAACAAAAATATACCTGCCTTTCAAAACAGATGTCACACAAAAGGATGCCTGGAATACGGAAAAGCAAAATAAGCATTTGTATAACAGCCGTTTTATTTCATAAAGGAGAATATTTACTTTTATTCGTTCTTTTGTTCAGTTCAGTCATTGTCTTGGAAACAAAATAAAAAGATAAGTTAACTTTTTAAAGTAGTAAGAGAAAGAGAAATTATTGAAAATATTAAACAATAATTTAAGAAGTGATCACCACCAACAAGGTAATGATTTTGGCTTTTCGACACATTCATAACCTATGAGTTGCACTTAGAAAAACAACAAAAAGATTGATTAACTGAGAGGAGTTTGTTAGTAGACAGAAATGGGTACTTAAAGTTGTGTCACTTCAGAACCAATAAAATTAATGATTAATTAAAAATACAATGGGTAATAATTCTGAAACTCGATTTGTCCCCAACATGGTAATGCAAGCATTATCCATATTTTCATCAGAACTCCATCTTTTTTCCTCAAGTTCTGGCATATTTTAAACCGAACTTCGTCTTACCTCCTGAAGACCTGATATATTTTCATGGGGGCTACATCCTTTCGCCTCATGGCTTGCTATGTTTCCACCAGAACTCCATTTTCTTTCCTTAAGACTTTATTTTTCGCTAGAATTCCAAAGTTCTTCCTCAAGACTTGGCAAGGTGGACAAAATTTAAACTTCGAGTGAAAGCTATTTCTGACTTTTTCACACACCATTCGGTAGAGAATATGACGCGTCATTTCTATCCTATCTGACTACTTTAATGTTTTTCGAATTTTCACGTTGAAAATTTACTGAGATTTCATCGAAAACTGAAACTCGACTCAAAATTTGGAACTACACATTAACCGACTTCTCCTTTATTCGTAATCTTGAATTTGATATTTTTATTGGTTAGAAGTTGAGTTCTGATGAGGAAAATTGAGAATTACGGGCAGCATTCTGACTTTTTCGCCTCTGATTTAGAAAAAATGATTTTCTCAGCAACCAAACGAAATTTCAAAAATCTACGCCTATCCTTTTGAAGAGGAGTAGACAGCGGATCGAGCCATGTAAAATATTGGCTCTGGGATCTCTACAAAAAACGAAATAAGGTTTGCAAAAACCGATTCGAATTTAGAGCCCTATCGGTTTCGGACGCTGTGAGAAAACCATTTTTCGCTCCGCAACCTTGAAACTTACTTTTCTAGATTCAGTTATTGGCGCTGAATCCAAAAAGCTTTGGTACGAGCGTTGAAAGCAAAATGTGAAAATAGCCGTTTTTCTAACACCTTACTTTTTTGAGCCTTTTGATGCCTCTGGGGTTTTCCCGAGCTTTCGACTGGTAAAATCCTTTTCAAAAAATCCAATTTTACGTCCAACGTAAAAGATACATTGGACGTTTTACAAGGTGTTACGTGAGAATATAGACGCGTTCACATCCATTGTATATATGCATCTGTCTAAGCGGAAAGATCGCGTCTTTAACGGATACACATATCGAGGAGCAGCAATATTGGTCGAAGCTTTGAAGGTCTATTTGAATATGCACTCAGATAGACAAAATGTATTTGAGACAATCGATAAAAACTGTGTAATCGAGACACGCATAGCTCAATCAACATAAAAGAAAATAGCTAGGACAGAAAGTTTTGCAGAGAAGGCGATGTGTTCGGATAAACATAAAACTATATTTCAATTTAATTTTCCTAAAAAATGTGAAACAGCAATTAAGTTAAAAGAACTATCAAATTATCCAGTAGAAGAGACAGTGCTAGTTTTACCGTTTACTTTATTCAAAATCGATGACATTAAAACAATAGATGGAAAGTATATTGTTCATTTGACAAACGGCCTGTATCAGACAAATCTGCTTTTGCTAGTTGGATAAAAGTATAACTGTCAAGACAAGTGCAATGATAGGACTCTACTATAAATTAAAATGCACGTTTCATTGAATTTGAGTTTAATGTGCACTTTTAGTATGTATGTTTGTAAAAGAAGCAATATATAATTTTTTTTGTTATGTAATAATTCCTGTTGTCATCGACTATGGACAAGCTATATAAAAGAATGCTGAAGATCTCATCTTTTTGTTCTCGTCTTTTGGTTAACTAATCCGACGCTCCATCACATTAGGTGCCGTGAATGTAGAATTTTTTCATACATTTAGCGACTCATCTATAAGAAAACTCTTGAAAGCGAGAGGAATTTGGTAAGACATGTAGGAATGTCACACAAGAATGATAAGTACTCTTATGCAACTCGAATGTATTTCTTACTTGAAAAAACCTTGTATGATCGGTCTTGCTCCGTAAGCTGGCAAACGTCACTCCTACATGAGACTCACAAAATATTGAAAATATTGATTCATTGAGAGGTTGCATCTGAAAGCTACAGCGCCCTATGCCATGCTCTTATTAACTCAGCTGTGACATGCTCGTACAATTATGAAAGGTCACATTACAATTATTTTCTGATGCAACAAAGTTTTAAATTCTAGTTAAATCATAAGCAAAAGGAAAAAACATCTCAGGTTCCCTTAGCTTTAAAGATCAGAACGTATAAGTTTTACTTACTTTTATTTACTTTCTGGTCCTCCTCAAACTATTTAAGGGGATTTTCCCATTTGAATTTCGCTCAGAGTTTGTCAGTTTGTCCAGGAGACCGCTCGAAGTTTTTACATCCTGAAGACCTTCCCCGACTGAGTTATAAAAATTCTAAAAAGTTTTCACCATTTTTGCCCCAATTTGAAAACTTGAATAAAATTGTAAAATTTAAGCTTAAAAATACAAATTTAGTGTCATTCGATAGAGGACATGAAATCGTACTGACACAACAAGTTTTGATGTTACCGAACGCGCTGTTCTCGAGAAGTTCGAATTTGACTTCGAAAACGAGGGATTTAGGGTTGAATAATGTCGTTTTTCTGGTATTTGAACTCAATATCTCAAACTTAAGCAGTTTGAAGCCCCGTTCTTTGTGACAAAACAGTTCAGCATGTAATTTTACACATGATAATTCTTTCTCGAGATTTCAGTCTGTAAACTGAGTTTCGAAATCAAATAACTTTAAAGTCGCTCTCTCTCTCCGAGAACCGGGCAATTTTGACGCTTAACTTAACTTCTTTTCTGAGATCAACGAAAGCATTCGATAAGCCTGAAGCTCGCAGGACACAGGTGGTTTGATGCGCTGAATCTAATGGCAACCTCAAAAATAAAAAAAATCAAGGTTTTCTCAAGTCGGTTTTCCCGCGACTTTAACTCAAAAATCGGCCAAAATCTTACAACTAGTTTCTCTCGAAGGAAGCAGTTTGGGGCAACGTTGGGTGCAAAAATCGAATTTCGAAGTCCCTAATGGCTTGTCCACGTAACTCCTTTGGCAGATGTCACAGCGTCACGTATTTTTACTCATTTTGTATTGACCATAGCTCCAAAACGAAAAGTCGTAGAGAGGTGAGCGACGTCTTAAATTAAAGAAAAAACTGTTTTAAAGAATAGGAACTGTCGGGACTCGGAAAAATATATCCGCGAAATTTTATGAAAGAATTATTGAGACCTACATTTTTGTTTTTAATTCTTAAAAAGTAGATCTGAGTGTTTAGGTTACAGATTTTCCAGAATACATTTTCCCGAGTGCGGACAGATTCCACAATCTTTAAAACGATTTTTTCTTTAATTTATTGCTTCGAACTAGCCGTAAGACTCTTTTCAAAATACTTTTAGTTCTAAAAGTTCCTCGGAAGGTGAAAGTTAAATTTCTGCGTCAGATTTCATTCGGGAACGATTAAAAGCTTTTCTCTTCATACAAGTTAATGTTCTTTATCGAACTACACTAGAATCAGTTCTTCATATCAAAAACATCTTCGACGATTCTTCGTAAAGTCGTGTCACTTTCAAGCATTTCCTTATTCTACATCGAAATTTAGTCAGATTCTTATTAAAGTTGACAAAAATGTTTCATTTAGAATTTC